GTCTTCTGTCCGACGCAGGGATAGCACTAGTTCTTCCCGGCCGGCCAGCTATCCGTTTACAGTCTAATGCATAGAATTGACTATATTTGCTTACTGTTAGAAATGCTGTTAGGATAACGAATTGGGTGTTGTTTTACAGCTACCTTACTAGTTAGGATTGAATTTTGGCCTAGGGTTCTATTAACGGTGCCTATTAGGCCTGGGTTTAGGGTTGCCGTTAGGGCTAGGCCGAAGTCTGGCCTTGAGTTAGGGTTACATTTGGAATTAAAATGGGGTTCAGTTTCCAGGGTCAGGGCCATGTTTTTGTAAGTGGTTGGGGTTTGTTGATAAGCTTAGGGTTTGGTTTACGCTTAGGGCTTGGGGTGTCAGTGATGGTTGCGACTGGGTAGCACAGCACTCGCCCAGAACTATTTTTCGTTAGACACGATGAACACAAGGAACTACTAAAAAAAGGCAAATTCACGGGTACAAGTAAAACTATTGGAAAATTTTAGGCCTACATCTATAACTTCAATCATTCTCGAATGTGAAACAAGCCTTGGGAGCATGTAAACCCAGGCCTTGGAACTCTCAACTCCCTTACTTTGTTGTTCTTCTGTTTTAGATCTGCGAAGCTACCTGTGCGGTATTTGTGGGTTTTCTTTCAAATACAGAGGAGACCTAAAGTCACACGTCGACATTGTGCACAAAAGTACGGCTCTATTTGTTTCATTTTTCGAGCTTTCACCTTAGCCTTTTGGCCTGTTCTGTCTCTGTGAATGTTTGCTTACAAGGCGCCTAGACATAGGTTTTAACGCCCTGTTAGGCAATGCTCGGTTTATTGATAGGTTTGTACAATGGACTTATGCTTATCATCTTCATCTGCCTTCACTCGGGACTACAATAGTTGAAGGAAATGAAGGCGAGCCCTTTGTCTGCCACCCATTGACTTCCGTGATGCCCATATGCAGTTACCTTTTTTAGAATATAAGTCAGACCGCATTGTATGTCGCTGCCCGTTTCCCTGTCCTGTTAAACCGCTAATACGAACCATCTATTTTTTACCATAATTATTGATGACAAGTACGTGTAAATAATGATCTGTTGTTCTTTGTTACAGATCTGCGAAACTTCCCGTGTGATATTTGCGGCCATTCTTTTACGCGCAAGGCAGCCCTGAAAGAGCACGTCAACACTGTGCACAAAAGTACGCGTGTTTTTGTTTCGTTCTTCGAGCTTTCCCCTCGTCTTTTTGTTTGCTCGGTGTTTGTTCATATTTGCTTGTGTCAGGTCTGGACGTAGGCCACTGCTCGCTTTGTTGATAGGTTCGGACAGTTGACTAGTGCGACCCATATCTATTTATTACTGTTACTATTCTTAACAATTTGTTACAAAAAGTAATATCTAAGACTTGTCGCTCACAAAAGGTTCAATGGACATGGACCTGCCTATTTTTGTGTCTTAGGATCCCAAGCAAAAATGCGCAAATATCGTGGAGTGACAGATTCAGAAACGTGAATGTTCGGGAGATTTCTTTACACAGAACCTGTTAACGTTGCTTCCAATCGTGATCTTCTCCTAATATAATGTGTTTTCTTGTAGACTAGCAATTTTCATTAGCTTCGAACGTAAAAAGGGGCTTTAGGGCAAGCAAACCCAGTCTTTGGTATACTGAAGTCCCTTTATTTTTTTTTCTCCTATTTCAGGTATGCGAAACTTCCCCTGTGATATATGTGGAGTTTCTTTCAAATACAGCGGAAACCTGAAGTCGCATGTCAACGCGGTGCACGAAAGTATGCCTCTTGTTTTTCCTCCTTCCAGCTATCACCCCGTCTTTTGGCCCGCTCTGTGTTTGTGCGTATTTGCTTGTGTCGGGCATAGAAGTACGCCAGTGCTCGGCTTGCTGATTGTTGTTAACGCCGATGCCGCTCTTTTATATATGCAGTAACCTCGTTACTTCACATAGGTTAGGTTCCTAGACACTCGAGAATTTAAAAAAATTCACTAATTTTGTTCGAAGTATTAACAGCAAGGATGACTTGCATGGCAGAATAAACAAGACATGGGAATAGGAACGTCCTGCCCGCTCAAAGTATGTGGCCTTGGGGGATAATTATTCT